AGCTATGGCCTCCAAGGGACTAGCGATGGCCTCCAACCTAATAGCGATGGCCTCCAACCAAAATAGCGACGTCCAACCTAATAGCTATGGCCTCCAACCGACTAGGGATGGCCTCCAACCTAATAGCGATGGCCGCCCTCCAACCATAATAGCGATGGCCTCCAACCGACTGTCCCTCTCAGCTGTCTCTTTCTACTTACTTGGCCTGGTGGTGGCGCGACAAGGAAGCGACCATCTGCCCGACGCACGGCCACGGCAGAATTGGTAGTGCCCACATCCAAACCGACAGCAGGCGAACTGTCCTGGGAGAACATGTTGCTCTTTCCAGGATTCATATTGACTATCATGTATCATATCATGGCGTATGTCGTAGTTACCCCACAAGTAGGAAGTGTGACCAGCCTCCTGTGCTTGTAGGGCCGTCCTAGAGCATCTCTGCGCAAGCAGGCCAGCAAATGCTGTTGAGGCCTGCAAAACTGGCAAAAGCTCAAGTGTTGAAAGCGAGAACATGAGAAGAAACATCATGCAAAAGTAGGGACTACCGAAGAACGCATTCAGCCTGGAATGCACAAATGCAAGCGCTGACACAGGTCCAAAACCTCAGCGCAAAAAATGGGGAAAGAATAGTGCTCATGATCCCCATCCAGGCTTCAATTCCTGCGATGCCATCTTGGGAACATAGGAGGCAGCCTCGAACTGTTCTCACATGCAAGACCGCGCCTTATCAACAAAGGTGTTCGTCCATTGTGCCAGGTGGGCATCAAGAAACAAATCTTGAAAACACTAGGAAGAGTGTGGCTCACAGAGAAGTGATAACATCTAAGGCATACAACTCATTGTAACACTCGCAACTCAAAAGGACACGTTATAGTGCATGTTTGTTCCACGTTCTGCACCAATATGCAGTTCAAGCGCAAAATTGTGCTACCAGTACGCCATGCTGTGTGTGTGTGTCACCCTTGGAGTCATAGGGATGCTTTTGCATTTGTTTTACTGCAGGGGGACACAGCATTTCACTGGGACTGTGTCCAACGAAGCTACCAGTGAAATGGGATATCCAGCTTGGCCAGCTGGACGTACCTGCAACTTTCCTTTTCCGAATGGCAAGAGGCTAAGCCAAGAACCTCGATGCTTCAATGTTTTGATATTTTCTTTGCACTGCAGATGCGAGCGGATCGCCGTCAGCCTGTTCGTCCGTCGTTCGTTTTCTTCCTTTTGGGCCCTACTTCCTCTTGAAGACCTCCAGGATCCAGTGGTTCGTACGTGTACCCTTAGGAAATGGAACCCTAGGCCGGCGTGTGGCACCGCATTCAGTTCAGTACACAATATCTCAAGTGTGTTTGGCCTCGTGCCAACCCGGGATGAGCCCGCAGAGTGCCTCCCGTGGACCCGTTGAACGGGTGTACGTCGTTATCTCCCCTGCCCGGAGATGTAGATGCCCAGAGCGGGCGAAGGTGGCCTAGGCCGTACGTCCGATGATCTTTGTCTCATCTTTGGAATACCAAGTTGGCTTATGCCTTTACGTGACCGCAGCGGTCAAAGCAGCCAGCCATTTCGGCAAGGCACAAGGTGACCAGAGCGGTCAAAGCCAGTTTTAGGTTCATTGGAACCTGTCGCGAGCTTAGTCCACGCTTGTGTCGTAGCTGGGAACACCTTCTTCCCCTTTCCTTTCTTCTCTTTCTTTTTCTCTTCTCTCCCTTCCCCTCCCTCCCGTCAGGACCTTAGTGTGGGTTGCTTCTAGGGGCTCCTGGCCTTACTACTAGGACGCTACTTTGGTGCTCCTAGGGGTTCCTGGCCTTACTACTAGGCGCTAGGACGCTCTAGGGCTGAGATGCCTCCCCTCGGGGAGGCGTGTGTGTGTCACCCTTGGAGTCATAGGGATGCTTTTGCATTTGTTT